GCCTCCTAATCTTAACTCTAGGCAAATCAATGATTTGTGGGCTTCAAGGTAACCTTGGCCTACGGACCTCCCGCACAAAACTAGCCCATGGTAATTAAAGGGAAAACAAGACTCAAGTGCTTGGTTCTGGCACATAATAATCGCTAGTAAAAAAGAACCAGTTCAAATCCCCCGCTCCGAACAAAAGAAGTGTTCCTTTTCCCTATTTTCCTTCCATAAAAATCAAGAAGTGTTTAAGGAAGTGATAAAAATACTCTAAAATATAAATTCAAAATTTGATTTAGATAATTCGTGTAATTACTTTTAAAAAATAATATTTAATAATTTTAAATTTTAAATTTCAACGTCAATATTATTTTTTTATTCTCATGTTACAACTTTTGATTTATAAAAAAAATAAAACCAAAAGTTTTGTGATGCTCAAACAGCCCAAGCCAAGTTGTTTGATTTTGATTCAACGAGACTTGCGTTTATTGATATGAGAATGTATCTTTAATTGTTTCAAAATGAATCGTTCTAATCAAGTTTTTGAAGAATATCTATTTGTCCAGTCCAAAGGACAATCTTGAGGAATTAAAAAAGTTTCAAGATTTCGCTGACAACAAGACTTTCTATTTTGAGAAGTCAGTAACTTTCCATTTAATCTAGGATTTAACCTTGAACTTGGGTTAACATGAGACTGATACCAAATGATATGTGAAGCGAAAAAATAAGAGTTTTTTTTTTTTTTTAGGGAAACTCAATTTTGGGATTTTACTAAATTCAACTTACATAACCTAAATTAAGAGTTGACATAACTTAATTACTTTTAAGATAATTATCATCAGTTAAAAATATATAATGTCATCTAAATATTAGCAAATACAAAGATAAAATCTTAAATAATTTTTTTGAATAAATATAATTTGATAATAACTAATCCTAAATATATAGAGAAGATGTATTTCAAATATATATATATATATGTATATAATATATAGAAGATGTACTTAGCACATTGCAACATTAAGTTTGTAAGTTCCAAGTTAAAAAATCTGACCTGCAAAAAGAAAAGATAATTTGAAGTTTATCCAACTTAAAATGTGATAGTGGACTTCATAAAGCAACAATGGAGAAAATGCAGCAGAAAAATGGGAGACCGACAGATAAAAATGGGTCCAAAGCCGCCCCCACTTTAGTGGAGGTGAGGTGTTGGGTAGGGCGGTGGAGAAAGTCCATTCATAGTCCACGTTCTTCCCATCACACTTTAACTAAATAAAAAAAGTACTAATTAAACATACATTGGATAACAAATACAATGAATTAGCCAATCACTTAGAGCCACCTCCATTAACAAAAAGAAGAAATCCACAGTGCCAAGCATACGGATGGATATTTGGTTCTTGCTTTTGCCACGACAAGGAAAGGTCGGTTGCGTGTTCAACGGTGCATCAACTCAACTATTGGCCGAAAGAACGAAAAAAAAAAACCTCGTTGACACTAAAAATCCATTGTTTAGAGTTTTAGGTTATGGTCAATATCAATGCTGCAGACATGCATATAATTGCAAATACCCGTTTAGTACTTTTAACATTAGAAGCCAATAATACTATACAAAAAGTTGAAGGCCAGACTCAGAACTCAGTAGATTGCTTTTTGTTGACCTTTCCTGCTTTCCATTATGAAATTATTGATCAATTAAAACGTGGGAAGTTTGACAGGTATTGGAAAACTGGATTATTGGTTTTAATGCAAAACCCAACACAGATTATTAACAGCAATAAATAAATCAATTGCTAGTCCTAATTAATCCTATCCGGGGTTATAAAGTTGAGTGTCAAGGCCACTGTGCTTATGTTTCATTGCATTATTGGAGTAACTAATTGTGGGGTTTCTGATGCTGCAGAGTCGACAGGTAACCCATTAACTGAAAAAGATTGTAAGAAGTTTCAAGAGGAAAATCATGAATCCACCAAAACTTTTTCATAATTTATATATATATATATATATAAATATCTTTCAGGTTGCGGTCTATTATTAGGACACATTAAAATATGGATCAAGTCAAGTAGGACTCGAATTCATTAGTACATTAGTATTAATTCCTTGATTCCGTTTGACCAACCTTGTCGATCTGTCTTGTTTTTGACGTGGCTGTCTCAAAGTTCCACTTTCCCTCCACCTGCATGAGATTTTTAGCTTTGATTGAAATAAGTTCACCTTTTTTTCTAGCTTCTTGTTGTCCAAAAGAGTGAAGTGTTTTTCCTGTTTTAGTAAATTAGAAATATAAGAACATAGGTATTGGTAACCTTAACTTCCATTGCTTTTGCTAATTTTTGTAATATTTTTTATAATCTTAATTTGTAGGAATAATTTTGAATCGCTCTATATATATTTTTAACTTTTGTATGAATTTTGATAATTTTTATAGTGTTTTTTAATCTTCGTAAAAATTTTGATACCTTTTTTTGTGTTTTTTTTTTACCTTTATAAGATTTTGGTAACCTTTATACTATTTTTGATAATGTTTGTAGTGTTTTTGGTAATTTTTTAAAGAAATTGATCATCTTTGAGGTGTTTTTGGTAATCTTTGTAATACTTTTGACAACATTTGTTGTATTTTCCTAACATTTATAATTTATTTTGTAACATTTGCTTTTGATAACCTTTGTAATTTTTTTTTTTAACTTTTGTAGTGTTTTTGGGTAATCTTTGTAAGAATTATGGTGACTTTTATAGTGTTTTTTGTAACCTTTGTAAGAAATTTGGTAACCTTTTGTAAAATTTGGGTAAACTTTGTAGTGTCTTTTTAACCTTTATAAGAATTTTAATAACTTTTCTAATGGTTTATATATATATATATATATATATTTATAATCATTGTAAGATTAAGGTAAAATGGGTTGTATTTTTTTTACTTTTGTAAGAATTTTGAAACCTTTTCAGTGTTTTTGGTAATCTTCATAAGAAATTGGTAACCTTTATAATGTGTTTGGCTTGAAGTGTTTTGATAACCTTCACAATTTGGTAACCTTTGTAATTTTTGTAAACTTCGTAATTATTTTTATAAAATTTGTAGTATTTCTGGTAACATTTGCATTGCTTTTGATAACCTTTGTAATAATTTTTGTAACCATTATTGTATTTTTTATAATCTTTGTAAGAATTGTGGTAACTTTGTAATTTTCTGTTATAGTGTTTTTTTTTTTTTAACCTTTGTAAGCATTTTGGTAACCTTTATAGTGTTTTTGGTAATTTTTGTAAGAAACAGGTGAGCTTTATAGTGTGTTTGATGACTTTAAGAGGTATTATTTATCGATTTAGAGTTCGGCGTTTATAATTATTTCCCTTGTTATTAGGCTATGGTCTCATTTACACAAAAAATTATTGTTGAATAATGAATTTAAGACACAATTCAATTATTTTATATAATTATTCTTAAAAAATGATATTAAATAAGTTTGAAATTTAAATATCAATATTTATAATTATTTTTTTATTTTTAACTTTTTTTATACCAAAAAAGTTATTATATAATATAACAAAGATAACTAGAATCTAGATAAAGTAAGCTAGACAGTTAAGGTTGGGTGAACTTGCAAACCTTACACTGTTTCGATTTTGGGCAAAGGATAGCTTTAGGACCTAATTGGGTAAATAAGAAATGATCATAAACTTTTTGCTGATAGCAGGGTTTGCCAATGTGGTCAAGGACATAAAGTTCACATGTGATGTTTTAATGAGCAGACCGCTTAACCCCATCTTGAAACTCCTGATGATAATATATTAAATTAAATTTATCTTATTAACACTTATTAATCTAAATGATAAAAATTTTGATTTAAATAAAATTTTAATTTTAAATTTTATGAATGAAAAAAATAAATATTAAAAAATTTTTTTTTTATGAGATTCGATTTAATTTGACCTAAAAATAATTAAAATCCAAAAAAATTACAGAACACAAAAATTCCAAACCAAAAAATTAAATTTGTTTTCTTCTATGTTACTTCTCTGTTATAATAACAAATGCTGTGGGCTTAGCTTATAGCCGATATAAAATTTAAGTAATTTGCCAGTCACTTTACGGTGTTCTAGTTTAATAACTACACCTTTTCTGAATGGACGGAGGTGCCAGATAGAGAAGGAAAAAAATTTGAAACTGACGGTTTCTTATCCGATTTAATTTTTTAAGGTTGATCTTTTATTTGAAAATTAAGTATTATATTGAGTCGAGTCGATGACATAAAAAAAAATTTGAAATTGGGTTTGTCGATTTGATATATATAAAAAATTTATTTTTTAATAAATTATATAATTTTATATTTATTTTTATATATATTTAATTTTATATTTATATTTAAAATAATATTTTATTAATTTCAAATCGAATTAGATCGAATATAATTTTACATAATATTGAGTTAGATCGAATTTAAAAATAAAAATAATAAAAAATTTATCAAATTAAATCGAATTTAAATTTAAATATTTAAAATTAATTCAAATTCGAGAGTAAAAAAACTCACTTCGGATACTCACTTCAATCCGATTTGTTGTCATCACTAGTGCCAGATCAGTGACCACACAAGACAGGACAGCACATGGGTTGAAAAGTGAAAACAGTGAAAAGTTTGCTTACTTTACGGATTCCCATTGCTGAGGGTATGTATCCTTCTTAAAGTAAAAATTATCGGAGGTCTGAGCTTTTGGGTGGTAGGCAGACCAAGTGAAAGCAACCTTTACCTTGGACTGAGGTTTGGCTTCATTTTTAAATTCATTAGTACTAATATTTATGTATAACAATTTTTTTATCAGTCTTTTATCACTATGAGATTGTACAACTAGCTACTCAGTAGAGACAACTCTTCTCAAGTAAAGCTTGAGTTACAAATTAAAATGCTCATTTTCAGTGGGAAAACCATATAATTTCCCATAAGAGTACACTGTATTTTTTTTACGTCTGATTCTTACACAGTATTGCTATTGAAATTTGAAGGTTTATCTTTCCAAGTCATTGGCTCTAATTCTTTCCTCGAACCTTTGTCCATTGTTTCCTTAGAGAAAAAAAAATAAAGAAAAGAAAAGAAATCCATGCCTTTCTACTAGGAATAGGAAACAACGGGATGCTTTTCTACTGGGAATTGAAATCCAACCCAAAATCATTTTCCATTTATGATAACGACAATATTATTTCTCTACATTGACAATTGCTCAAAAATGGGTCCCCCTTGAACAGTAGAATTATCATGAACCGGTGCTTGATTTGATTCTTCTGTTAATCTCTTTCTCCAATTCTTCTAGCCCTCCCACTTCCTCCAGTTCCTGCTCCATCCCAACACAAAAATTTCAATTCACAACAGTAGAAAAATCTAAAGCAAACCAAAGAAATAGAGCAGAGACAAAAATGGAATAATAGAAAAAGATGTTTTCAGGACAATCTCACCTTAGGCCCTAAAAACAGCCCATATGGGATACCATTGAATTTTTCTGAATGATGGAGCTGAAACCCAAACATCAAATCCAAAGGAGATAATCGCTGTTAGATTCATTTAGAAAAAAAAAAAAAAAGACTAATAAAGATGTTTGGTGTGGGGGCATACTAACCTGGTGAGCCGCAGCAACTTTCCGGAAGTAGGGAACGTTGGCAATTGGCCCAACCGGGAATCTCTTGTGGACGAGGCCATCGTGGACGAACATGTAGGCCATTCCGAACACGGTAATGCCAAGCCCCTGGACCCAACCCAAGTCAAAAGGAAAAGTTCTACTGCTAATGAGGATATTAGGGTCATTTTATTTCCAGGTATGAACAAACAGAAAATGTTTTCTAATCCCGAGTAGTTAAGTGGGGATTAAACCGTTAGGATTCACACAGATAATGAGAGAGGAAGAAAAAAAAGAAAATAGCGTAGTAAGTAGACAGAAAGAGACACTTACAGCACCAAAACAAAGACCAGGGACAAGGCCTTTGTTGAAGAAACCATAAGAGAGAAGAGCAATTGCTGGGACGGCGTTGATTATGGCGAACACATCGTTTAGCTCGAACGCACCTTCTCTAGGTCGATGGTGAGACTGCAAATAACAATAGTAATAAAATTCATCACTAATTCATTTTTTAGCAATCTTTTTCGAAACAGTTCAATCTCAATTCTCAGCTGCTTAAAATAGGCCTTTACAGAGGAATGAAAAGAAGGGGAATGAGAGAAGAGGAACATAAATACCTGGTGCATATGCCACAAAGATTCGTGCCAGAGAGCTCGATGTGCCCATCTGGCCCAAAACTCCATGCCTACCTGAAAATCGAATACCACCCAGGCTCTGATTCAACAATCAATTCATACTTCAAATGCAATTATATAAAAAATAAGGTATACAACTGATGAATGAAATTGAACCTACAGCGGCACCAACTGATAAAGCAAATGTACCAAACATTTCAGAGAGAGGCACCTCTCCACCCTTAAAATGAAAAATAACCCAATTTCAGAAATTGGCCATACTAAAAAAAAAAAAGAAAGAAAAATAAAAATAAAAAAGGGAGAAGAGAGGAAAACAAACCTCCATTTGCCAAGAAAACCTATAATAAACGGCCATAACAGCCATCGAAGTGATCCCAAAACTAGACATGACAGCTGCAACAAGGTACGTAAACCTTTCCGATCTCTTTCTAGCTAACTTCTCCGCCACACGTGTGGGTATTAAGATCTGAGGATCTCTAACGTCATCGGATTCTTCTTCTACGATATTTACGATCGGCGGAGTTCTCTGTTTCCGTTCCTCCAGCACAAAGCAAACAGCATAGCTTGTCTTCCTTCGAGCTCCAAAGGTAAGTTTTTGGAAGTGAAGTAAAGGATGGAAAAGTGGCGTTGGCTTCGGCGTTTGGTGGGAATTAGATAGAAATGAACGGAAGGGTTTAGTGGTAATGGCAGCTGATAGGCTTGCCGCCATGGAAACAACTGCAATAAGCTAAATTTGAATATTGTGTAGAATTTCAGAACCTTAAAACAAAGTCTTGCAGACGAGACAAATACGGAGGAAGATGCAGATGCAGATGCAGAAGCAGAAGAAGAGAGACGGGTCGGAGTTTGGGTTTTAGAGTAAACAGCAAGAGGTTGAAAGCACGGTGACCACATGTTTCCGTGATTTCAGAAGTTTATGGAATTTATGGAAATAAAACGCCTCTCCCGTGAACACATATGGTACACATTGTAATGAATAAGCTCATATTTCTTCTTTAATTTACCAAGTTGCCACTACGGTCGATATCCAAATGTAACACGCGGAAAATTTGTACTTTAGTGCTATTCAATTTCTAATTTTTTTTTCTTTTCAAGAACAACTTGTTTTTTAGTAAATTTCTTTTTGCTTTTTTCTTAGTTCTTAGGATCTAAATGGTTCCAATAAAAAACGAAAAATTTAAAAAGCGTGATTGTTGGTGATATTAAATAGTAGATATTAGTATATCTAAAAAGGTTTGACCATTTGACCAAATTATAAACTTGCCAACAACTATTTATTATACATAATATTTCATTGTTTCCAATAGTAATATTTAGTTCGTCAAATTTTAAATTTTAAAAGAAGAATATGATTCTAAAAAAAAATGCTATATTTATAGGTTTTTATTTTTATTTTTAAGATATCTCATGTTCAGATTCATTCATTTGATTAAAAAAATTTATATATTAATTTCTAAATAATTATCATAATCTTCTTAAAATATATGTTAACAACTTTTCATTTCTTTTATTAATAATAAATACTTTAACATTTATTAACATATATTATTGAAGGTGTTTTTTGTACAAAATATATCTTAAATAATCATAGATACCTTATTTAGTTCAAGCTCGGATTAATTGGGCTTGGTCTAAAATAGACAATATGGGCCTATTTTTTAATTTTTATTTTGTTTTTATTTTTATTTTATTATTATTACTATTTTCGTTTATTATTTATTTTTATTATTTACTATTATATTATTATTTTTTGTTGATTTTATCTTTTCTTGATTAATTAGGAGATAATAATTAGATTAATTAAAAATAAAAAAAAAGTCATGGAAGTGAATTTAGACGTGAATTTGGAGGCTGACAGAGTTGGGATTGGATTCAAAGTTTGAATTCTAATCCCAGATGGAATTAGGATTGATCAAAAACTCTTCTGATCAATCCTTATAAATAAATGTTAAAACAAAACCCAAGAACAAAGAAAAACATAAGAGAAAGGTGAAACAGAAGCAAAAAAAAGTGTTTAGGGCCAGTTTAGAATTTTTAGGAATTTTTTTTGAATTTTTTGGGGTTTTTTTTCTGGAAAATTCGATGAAATTTTTTGATCAAATTTAAGTTTTTCGACGACTTTTTCAACCAAAAGCCCATATTTGGACATATTTTTTCAATTTTCAGTTAAAATTTAATCAAAAACTGGATTTTGTTTAGAGAGAAAGAGGAGAAAAAGAAGGAAAAAGAGAGAAGAAGAAGACGCCTCTGCTGAAAGGTTGAGCTTTTAGCTTATATACCTTGCTAAAATGACGTCGTTTTGGCATTAGTAAACTCAAAGGATTCGCGCATTTCTGTTTGGCCTAACCCAACCTAAGCGCCAACCCGTTTTAACCTAGTGCCAACCGACTCCCTAGACCTAAGCCAAGCCGAGCCGCTTCCCACCAAGCCACACCTTAAAGCCATTTTTCTTCCTAAAATCGAGTCGAATTCCAGCCGCTAAGCTAAGCCACCTTAAGGTTTTTTTTCATTAATTTATTATTATTATTATTATTATTATTATTATTATTATTTCTAAATTAAGATTATTAGGTATTCCTTAAATTTTTTTAATTTTAATTTTAATTTTAATTTTAATTTTGTTTAATTTTTTTTTGAAATCAAAATTTCAGAAAAAAATATTTTTGAGGAAAAGTTGAAAGTATCAATTTTCCTTAAAAATAAAAATTATCAAGAAAAAATATTTTAAGAAAAAGTTGAAAGTATCAATTTTTCTTAAAATAAAAATATTTTAATGCATTAAGGAAAAGTTGAAAGTATCAATTTTTCTTACACAAAAGCAATGAGTTTTTTTTTTTTTAAATAAAGAATAAAAAGAAAATGATTTATATCAAAAGTTGAATCATTATTCCTTTTTTTTATTTCATTCTTTTTTTTTCTTTTTCTTGAATTTTTTTTATTGTTAAATAATCAACGATCAAGTCTTTGCAAGTGAAACAGTAATTTTCTTACATACTCTTGAGGTGAGAAAAATTTTTTAATTTTATGCCAAAAGTATTAGAGTTAATTAAGAATAATTTTCAATAATTAATTAGTTGATAAAATTTTTAAGACTTATCGGATAACATAAAATCAAGCTAGTACCATCTTTCAATAGGTATTGTGAGGGTGCTATAACCTTCCTCATATATAATTGAACTCTCGAACCCTGTTTTAGTTAATAGACTGGAACTTATTCTTTTAGAGACCCTTAGTCAAGCTTAAGTGTTCCTTGAAGGGATAGATTCTTTAGGTGGTCAATCGCACCTAAACAAAAAAGATTTGTAGCAACTTTTTAAGTCAATGTCTAGTGATAGATCCCCGAATCTAGACGTTATGACAGTTTGGTGACTCAACTGGAGATTGCCACTGAGAGTTAGGCCAGCGAATAAATTCGTGTTATCCAAAAGCCTAATCAAATTGAACCTTTTGTATATATATTTTTTTCATTTATATTTATATACTTTGTTAATCATGTCATTCATATGCATGTGCATAACATAAGTTCTATACCTGAGTTTTATCTTTTTATGAGGGAGTAAAGTACCTATTGCTTTCGTAAGATTTTAATACCTTCGTAGTGGCTAGTGAAATACTCTCACTCAAATTGAACATTTTTCACTTGTAGCCTGTAATAAGAGAGGATTGAGGTATCTTACTAGTCTATAATGGACGACGATGTAAGGAGTAATTTGGTAACCTTTAGACTTTAAACCTCAAACCACATATAGTAGACCTTAGAGGTGCCTAACCGATAGATGAGCCATCTCCTTCCCTTTAGAATTGACCAAAAGCATATGATTCATTTTTATTGTGTGTGACGTTTTAATTTATTTAGTTATTTATTTGTTTATTTATCTTTATGTGATATACTAACCTCTTTTCTTATTCATGTTTGCATGATTCATACTCATATCATAAAGTTGCATAAAGAACATTTGCCTGAAAGATGGTATTCAGCAACAAAATTTTCATGGACTCCATAGAATGACTAGTTTGCTCTTCTTCTGTATTAGCTCCTTGTTAGTCACCCAACGAAGTAAAAGTCCAATCAGAAAAAACTCAACTAAAGAATGGGGATTGTCTACCGATTAGCTATGATTCCATTTTGACTTAAGAAACATCCATCCTCTTCAAACAAAATAATCTAGAGGATTTAGTTGATATATGAAAGAAGATGAGTCCGACTAGATAAGAGGAGTTTTGCTAAAGTCATGAACATATAGCACACCTCTTTACAATTAATATTGACCATCAACTAATTAGAGCTGCAATGCAATTCTGAGATCCTGCATACAAGTATTTCATCTTTAATGAAGTTGACATGATACCCATCATTGAAGAATATTCGACTTTGTTAGTTTTGCATCTAAGGCTCCTAATAAGATATTTGTCAAAAAAACATAAATAAAGATTTCATAAGAATTTGGCCCATCTCATAAGGATAAACAAAAAGATTATGGATTCTCATATAAAGAAGAAACAAGAACAGGTTTGCCTACCTTGAAAGTTTTTTCATGATTTTTTAATGCAACATGCTGACAAAAAATGAGGGTTAGACATATTTACCTTAGCCATATATAGAATGGTGATATTTCCAAAGGTGTTGCGTTATATTGAAATAGCAGTAATTGATTTTTTCGAAAGTGTGATTAATGACTATAACCCTTCAACGATAATATTAGCAGAGACTATCAGATCTTTAAGTTATTATAGCTGAAATGAAGGGCATTTTATAAGCTGCATACAGTTATTATACCTATTGATAAAAAGCCACTTCGAATGGAGAAAAAGTGCTTTCTCGAAGCTTTATGTTCGTAATTGAGCCTCGATCAAAGAATTCTGTAAAAATGAATGGTCGAAAAAAAATCTAAAAAAGAGTGAGTAGCTTTCTTACAAAAATTGATAAGCACTGAAGTAAGATAGTTGATCCCATGGATGAATCGTAAACCTATGCTATATTAGTGTAGAGAAAACACTGTGGTCCCACTACTGGGTTTATGAGGAGTAATAAGTTATACACCACTTCTAGTGAGAAGGTAGTTTAGGACAGAACAGTTCATTCCTATAACGTATGAGCTTCATTAATCAAAATTTTCTTATAATGAGCCAAAAGCATTTTAGAAGATGAATGAGATGATTAAGGCATTGAAAAACCCTCGTAAAATGAATCCTGGACCATTCACTGATAAAGTCACTCAGGGGTACTTAGTTTGGAAAGCAAGATGGAGATAACAAATGGTATTCACTTATGAAAGCTTCCAACCGCCAACAAAAGAAATGCCTGAAGAAACACCATTAGAATTAGAACTTATAAGGAAAGAATGAGTCTGAAAAAGATAGGCTAAAGCAAGAGATTCAGAAGCTTCAAGAAGAGAAAGATCAGTGAAAAGATGGAGCTGAAAAACATAAACCTAAAGTCTGCAAGATCATTAGAGAACGTGATACAGCCATCCAAGACTTATCAAAATTACACCATGAACATAAGAGGTTGTGTGTAAAAGTACTAGCCAAAAAGATAACAATTATTAAGCTAATTGAAAAAAATGCAAGGTTGAAGCAAGAATATACTGAATTAGAAGAAGAAAGTACTAAGTACAAATAAAGAATAACATGTTGAACAGTTACTTAAGTAGGTTGTGACAGAAATTGAATGAACAAGAAGACTACATTGCTATATTGGTTAGAAAGCATAGAGTTATTATACCAAATCTGGTGTGGTAAAAGAGAGAACCTAGGAAGATAAAAGTACATTAAGCACTTAATGACCTAAATTTACAAAGAGGTATGTAAGGCAAGAGAGATGGTAAAAGAGACAAAGGCATTAAAATAAGTGGTGGCCCTAGTAGGAGAACATGGGCAGTGCCTGTTGAACTTCATCAAGGAAGCAAGAGACCAGTATGAACAAATCAAATGATT